TTGTACTGCTAAGCCAGAAATAGGGGCAGGTTATGCTTTCTGGAGGAATGACTCAAATCAGCAAACAACCACAGCTCACTTTGGTAATGACACCCGTTTTCGAACTTTGGGGATCCCTTCGACATTGTTTTAAATTGGTATCACCATTTATTCTGCGTCAATTTATGACGATAGGGAACCTATCGGGATATCAGCAGCCTTGATCAGCATCTCGGCTTTGTTATCTAACCTGAGTGAAGTTGCACACTTTTTTTCGGAAATCTCAGTAGCATTGTATCCTAGTTCTGTCGGTAAGAAAGACTGCAATTCCAGAATGAAGGCTATTCTCATAGTTTCTGCGATTGTCGCAGCTGTTCACGGACTGAATCTTAAGGAGCACTTTGGACCTGAATACCCACTGGGGATCACATGGTGGAACCACTTAAAATCAGGTAAAGAGTCTGCAAATAAAGTGAGCAAGGAACTAGTGGAAGAGCTGAAAGTACAAGAAAATGTCTGAGGGAGTTGGTCACGAAAACACCTCAGAAAGAAGAAGTCCTGCTGTTGTAATTCTCTTTTTTTCAGAGCTCCACCGGCAGCATCACAAAACACCAGAGCACGATGAGGACAAATCAGAACCGGATAATATTACCGGCTCCCAATTTTGCAGGAAGTCACCACCTGGAACCCCACGAAAGACATGAACAAGTCGAAAAAGAGCCTGAAGCGGTCAAGAACCACGAAGGTAAAGTATACGACATTGATTATCTCAAAGAGTTCTAGCCAGGATTTTCATGAATTTTCGCCTACCCTTCAGAAAGGCACCACGAGTACCATGGCGAAAAGAGAGGCCTTCATGGTATAAAAGAGCCGCTTGAACCTCATGAAGGTAGGCCGATAGATTGCCTACTGAAACACTTCTAAAAGGAAGACTGGTGAAATTATCAAATGCATTTTTCACCCTTCCAGGAAAACACCATAACGAACGTCACGAAAGAAAGCATAACGAAGAGAAAGAAGAAACGGGTAAATTCCATGAAGGTAGGCTGATGAGTAATATTCTAAGATAACTGCAACCACTGAGGCTTAATAATTTCAACAGCCTAATTATCACCAGGATTCCGAGTTGTTTACGGAAAAATACTCACTCGAGCGGCCATCGATCCCATCGTATTTCATAAGAGTAGTTTATTTGCAATCAGTAATGAGAAACAACTTCTTCTGATAGCAATTTCAATCGTGCTACCCATTACATAATCGGAGGCACCGTTTCATCCCAACTCAGCTTCCAAGAGCCCATAAACACAAAAAGCACATCAACAACTAAGGTAGTAATAAAAGACGGCATGTTCTAGGGAAGCACCATAGGAGAAACCACAAGAGAAGAAAACATGAGGAGGAGAAAGATGAGATAAGACATCACTTCCCCCTGAAAGGGGAAGTGATGTCTTATCTCACTAGAACTCAGTACTTTCAGAGAGACATCTTTCAGAGAGACATCACCCCAGGTTCATGCATGATGGTGGGTTGGGAGATGATCAGCGAGAAATCTTTGAAAGGGGAAGTGATGTGTTATCTCACTAGAACTCAGTACTTTCAGAGAGACATCTTTCAGAGAGACATCACGGGAAACATTACGAAAGAAGAGAGCATCGAGCGAAGAGACTGAAGTATAGACTCCGGTTCACTACATGAACGTGTGGTTGAGGAGATGATCAAGCAATAAATCTCGAAAGGGGAAGTGCTTGTTATTCTTCTCGAGTACTAACGAGGGGAGGTCGTTCAGGGCGTGGAGCGCTTTTTGAAAACGGTTTTTTGCATGAAATAGGGGCAGGTGCAGTGAACACAGATCTATGGTCCATTTCCGCTAAATGGCCTTCTGAATGCCAAAAAAGGAGTGAGAATCATTTTGTTGGAAACTGCAGTTTTTACTTGTTAAAAGTGGTGTGTTTCATTCATGGCGTGGACTACTTGCGTAATGGAGGGTCTTCGTAAGGTGTGTCTCGAAAACATCGAGAAATTTGGTCAAAATTGGAAAGTTGTCGTGGTGGTGTCATGCTGTGTGCTAAAGAGCGTGTGGAAGTTCCTTAAGAGCATTTGGCCAACTTCCTCCAGCAGCGTCGGTGGTGTAGTGGTTAGCGATGGGGATTTCGATTGGCACGCTTGGTCTGGGTTGGTGGTTCGGATCCCCGAGGTGTCGGGCTTTTTTGCATTTTTTGTAGGCACTTCACGGTTTTCTCCAAATAGCACAGGTGCCAAAATGGATGTGTTATTCAAGACCAGAACTATTGATAACCCAGATTAGGTAAGTTTTCACCGAAAGCAGGCAAAAAAAAGTTGTACGTTGGAATTTCGCCGGATAGCGGCGGCTCCAAAAAACAATGCCACATTCGTGACAAGAGCACCAATTTACCTCTGGTGCCAACGTTTCGAAGAAAATCATCTTTGGCATCTTTGGCCTAACTTCGAAAACTTGACATAAGTAAATCTTCAAAGTATTCCCACTCGCTCGGAGGCGAGCTCCGCACGGAAAACTGGCAGAAAACTACTGCACTGTGGGTGACCCTCCGACCAACACCAGCTTGCTTGTCTGCTATAGTCTATTCGGCAGGAGCATCTCTCATTTTTTGAGGACTATCTAGATGATGTCATTTCCAAGAAGTTCATCGTCGAGCTTTACTTGCCACAGAGTTTACTTATTCATCTAGCAAATTTTCGAAGTCGGGCCAAAATCTTGATTTTCTTAGAAACATCGACTAGAAGGGTTATCAGGTGCCCTGATTATGAATACAATATTCGTTTGTAGCTCCGACATCATTTCGGGCCCTATGACGTTCTTCGACGGCACCTTGGTGAAGTTTTTGCGTCACAACTTTCTCTCACCAGTTTTTGGTAAAAGCCCACTTGTAAGGGTTTTTGTAAGCCTAATTGTAATTATGACATCAATTGCTGGTGTTGGCGTTCTTCGGTGCCAATTTTGTGGCGTCAAATCACAGTGCAAAAATTTTGTCACCGCGGGGAATCGAACCAAGGACCACTTTCCCACCCTTTTTTGGCATTCAGTGGGCCATTTAGCGGAAATGGACCACAGTTCTGTATTCCAGGCACATCCCTCTATATCATAGGAAAAACCATTTTGAGAAAGCGCTTCCACGCCCTGAACGACCTCCCCTCGTAGGTACTTTCAGAGAGACATCTTTCAGAGAGACATCACGGAAACATTACACGAAGAAGAGAGCATGAGGAAAAGGAAGAAGAACCCAGGTTCACGCATGACGGTGGGTTGGGAGATGATCAGCGAGAAATCTTTGAGAGGGGAAGTGATGTGTTATCTCACTAGAACTCAGTACTTTCAGAGAGACATCTTTCAGAGAGACATCACGGGAAACATTACGAAAGAAGAGAGCATGAGGAAAAGGAAGAAGAACCCAGGTTCACGCATGACGGTGGGTTGGGATGATGATCAGCGAGAAATCTTTGAGAGGGGAAGTGAAGTGTTATATACTTCAGGCTAGTATTTCACCACGTTACATTCCTTCAGAGCGAGCCTTTTTCGGATAGACGATCCACCCGAAACTTCTGAAAGAATACGACATTGAGGAGAATATATGCGTATAGAAGAACGCATTCTTTCTGCGAGGCAAACCGCCGTAGATCATCCGGCTTCTTCCAACTGGCGCACGCATGACGGTGGGTCTGAAAGCATGATGAGTCGAGCAAATAATGCTCTTCGTGAGATGGGAGAGGTCGAATGTTAGTCTGCAGTCTAGATTACTCTCCGTAGTCTCAGACAAGACTCTATCAGTGACTAGCACCACTCACCTGGACATTTCGCTTAGCGGAAGATAAGAGCATCAGTTATGATGAACAGAAACGAAGATATGAACCTCCCGTATGACACGATGATCGTTAGCGGAGATGAGTGAGGCAAGTTAAGTCCTCTAAATGCGGAAGTGATGTGCGTTAACTCTCAACTAGTACTGCACGAGGGGCAGGTCGTCTTTTCAAGGAGATTTTCATGCTGGAGGCGTTCCGATGCCAACGCGTATGTTGATCTCGTAATTCAATTCCTGTTTTCGTCAACTGCAACTTCTTCGACATGTTTTCGCCAGGATGCTATGTCTCTGTCCTTGAAAACATACGATGAACACAGATCTATGGTCCATTTCCGCTAAATGGCCTTCTGAATGCCAAAAAAGGAGTGAGAATCATTTTGTTGGAAACTGCAGTTTTTACTTGTTAAAAGTGGTGTGTTTCATTCATGGCGTGGACTACTTGCGTAATGGAGGGTCTTCTTAAGGTGTGTCTCGAAAACATCGAGAAATTTGGTCAAAATTGGAAAGTTGTCGTGGTGGTGTCATGCTGTGTGCTAAAGAGCGTGTGGAAGTTCCATAAGAGCATTTGGCCAACATCCTCCAGCAGCGTCGGTGGTGTAGTGGTTAGCGATGGGATTTCGATTGGCACGCTTGACTTTGTTTTCTGGTGTTGGTGGTTCGGATCCCGAGAGTGTCGGGCAATCATCTAGTTTGCATTTTTGTAGGCACTTCCCCTTTTCAACAGTTGTTCTCCAAATAGCAAAACAAAAAAAAAAAGTGCCCCATTCTCGCCCCGATAAAGAGGGCCGAACGCCACAGGGCCGAGAGATTTCATCGCTGGATCATACTCAAACCCGACAATGGCTGGAACCTGGGTCTCTTGCCTTTTCTGCAATGCCATCTCTTCAATGGATGTGTTATTCAAGACCAGAACTATTGATAACCCAGATTAGGTAAGTCTTTTCACCGAAAGCAGGCAAAAAAAGTTGTACCGTTGGAATTTCGCCGGATAGCGGCGGCTCCAAAAAACAATGCCACATTCGTGACAAGAGCACCAATTTACCTCTGGTGCCAACGTTTCGAAGAAAATCATCTTTGGCATCTTTGGCCTAACTTCGAAAACTTGACATAAGTAAATCTTCAAGTATTCCCACTCGCTCGGAGGCGAGCTCCGCACGGAAAACTGGCAGAAAACTACTGCAGGGTTTCCATGTGGTGCCTCTCCACCAACACCCACTTGCTTGTCTATCTATTCGGCAGGAGCGTCTCTCATTTTTTGAGGACTATCTAGATGATGTCATTTCCAAGAAGTTCATCGTCGAGCTTTACTTGCCACAGAGTTTACTTATTCATCTAGCAAATTTTCGAAGTCGGGCCAAAATCTTGATTTTCTTAGAAACATCGACTAGAAGGGTTATCAGGTGCCCTGATTATGAATACAATATTCGTTTGTAGCTCCGACATCATTTCGGGCCCCTATGACGTTCTTCGACGGCACCTTGGTGAAGTTTTTGCGTCACAACTTTCTCTCACCAGTTTTTGGTAAAAGCCCACTTGTAAGGGTTTTTGTAAGCCTAATTGTAATTATGACATCAATTGCTGGTGTTGGCGTTCTTCGGTGCCAATTTTGTGGTGCCAAATCACAGTGCAAAAATTTTGTCACCGCGGGGAATCGAACCAAGGACCACTTTCCCACCCTTTTTTGGCATTCAGTGGGCCATTTAGCGGAAATGGACCACAGTTCTGTATTCCAGGCACATCCCTCTATATCATAGGAAAAACCATTTTGAGAAAGCGTTCCACGCCCTGAACGACCTCCCCTCGT